AAGAAAACCCTTCGAGGATTGCCGAGAAGGATCCCGAGATGACCCCAAGCATTTCTTCGATGTTGCGTCAAGCGAAATAAGCAATAAGTTGAGATGTCTCAAGCGAAATATATAATAGTTTGAAGATGTCTCACATGAGATGAGCAATAAGATGATGATATTTCAAGCGAATTAACGATAGTTTTATGATGCGCCAAGCAATAGTTTGAGGATGCCTCCAGCGAAATAAGCAATAGTTTGAGGATGTCTCACGCGAAACACAATTAGTTCGAGGATGTCTCGAGCGAAATAAGCAATAGTTTGAGGGTGTCTCGAGCGAAATATGTAATAGTTTCAGGATTCTCAAGCGAAATACGCAATAGTTTGAAGATGTCTCAAGCAATAATTTGAGGATGTCCTCAGAAAACTAACTAAGCAATCGTTCTCCTCTCCTCCTCTACTTCTCCTCTTCATTTGTTATTCTTCCTTTTATTTTCATTCTTCATGTTTATGTTTTCATGTTTTTTTTTTGTTTCTGTATGTTTCGCTTAGTTTTGGTTTCTGTCTGACTCTCTATCTCTTTCTCTCTATCTCTCCCCATGCGCCCCTGAAATTGTTTAGCCCTGGGGTTGATTATCCGCGGAAAGTGAGGCGCGTGAGCTAGTCTACGCGAGCACTTAACAATTTTTAATTTTCATAAAGCGCTTGTAAAACAATAATACATTTGAATCTTCAGAATTTTTGTTTTATCCTCCTGTCCTCTTCTCTTTATCCTTTTCATTTATTATTCTACTTTTCTTTTTAGATATATCTTCTCTCTTTAGGTCCTTCCTTTCTTTTCCTTTATGATATCTCTCTCTCTCTCTGTCTCCATGCCCCCCCCCCCCCCTCTCTGAACTTGTTTATCCCTGGGGTTGATTAGCCATGGAAAATGAAGCACATGAGCTACCCTACACGAGCACTTAAACCAATTAATTTTTCATAAAGCGCTTGTAAATAAAATCTAATACATTTGAACTTGAGATTTGTCCTTTTCTTTCTCCTCCTCCTCTGTTTTGTTGTTTTTCTGTTTCCCTTTCTCTTTGCCATTTCTTATTGTTTCTTTTTATTTTTGTTTTTGTATATCGCTTTCTCCATTCCCCCGACCGCCTGAACTTTATTATCGCCGCGGTTGATTATCCAGGGGCGCCGAGGCGGATGAGCTATTCCGAGGATGTCTCAAGCGAAACAAGCATATACTCGAGGATGTCTCAAGCGAAACAAGCATATACTGAAGGATGTCTCAAGCGAAACGATGCGTTTCTTAAGGATGTCTCAAGCGAAAACAGCAATTGCTCGAGGATGTCTCAAGCGAACCGAGAGGTTCGACGAGGATGTCTCAAGCGGAACGAGTGATTCGTCGAGGATATCTCAAGCGAAACAAGTAGACGAGGATGTCTCAGAGGATAAGGGAGAGGAGAAGGAGGAGGGAGGAGCCGCGGCGAGGCCGACCGAGCAGACCGAGCTGAAGGTCGTCACAGGCGAGGAGCCGTGGAGCTACTCCACCGAGCCTGGCCGAGGCATCGAGCCGAGACTGGCCAAGGAGAGACTCGACGCGGTTGCGAGCTGGCCCGAGAACGTCCCCCCGATTCCCGGCTGGAGCGCACTGGGCGGCGAGTGCTTCCGAGTCGAGGACTTGCCGAAGGACTGCGAGGACGACGAGAACCCCTGCCTCCTCGAGCTTGCAGAGCTACACCTCGAGCTCACAGACGAGCAGCGAGACATGCTCAGGCCGCCCGAGGAGCGCATCAAGGAGATCCAGTTCCCGCGCGCCCTCACGGACCGAGTGCGCCACCGGCGAAACAACCGCAAGAACAAGTGGGCGAGCAAGTTCCGAAGCCAGCACGTGGGCAAGTCAGCGGCCAAGTGGAACAAGGCGAAGCGCAACCAGGATGGCCGAGACGCCCTCGACAGCAAGAGCCGAGGCATCGCCAAGGCGAAGCTGTCGGGGCGGGCCCCCAAGCCGATGGGGAGCTTCGCAGAGAAGTTCAAGCAGAAGGGGAAGGCCAAGCGGAACCAGAGCGCCCAGGACAAGAAGAGAGGCCAAGCGGGCCTCAAGGAGTGCAAGGACTCGCCCTGGCACGGCGAGAGCATCCGCGTCAACGAGGAGTGCGTCCACGAGGGGAGGCGCGGGAGAATCCAAGACGTCTGGAGCGTCATTGACACCGAGGGCGAATACCAACTCCGAGTGCTCGAGGTCGAGACGTCGGCGATCTTCCAGATCCGCTCCAGCCAGGCTCGAGGGCCAATGGGGCGCGAGCGGAAGCCGAGCAGAAGGGCCAGCGGAAGCCGAGCGGAAGTTGGCGCAGAAACCGAGCGGAAGGGAACTCGCGCGGAAGCCGAGCGGAAGGGCAGCGGAAACCGAGCGGAGTTCGCCCCCATCCGTCGGTCCTCGAGCCTGGGAGGTCGTGGTCGAGGTGGAGTGGGCGAAGGCCAAGCCCGCCAAGATGGATTACCGAACTCTGAGGAAGGCCAGGCGCACCGAGCTGGCCAAGCACCTAGCCATCACCAACTGCGAGTTCGTCGAGAAGAACAGGGCCCTCGAGCTCGGCACGATGAAGGCTCTCATTGGCGAGATCGCGGAACGAGTTGGCCAGCCGCCAGGCGTCGAGCTAATCGAGCCGACGATTGCTGTTCTCTGGGCTCGAGAAGACCATGGCGACGACGCGGCCACTGCCGAGGCGCAAGAGGAGCAGAAGGCCTGGCGCGAGAGGATCGAGAACGCCAAGGTTCTGCTCATCTGCGTCTGGTCCGACAACCCGATGCACTACACGTACCTCAAGGTGACCGGGGAGGCATTCCAGGACGTGGCCATCGAGCACCGAGACTCTCTCAAGGTGCCGTCCGAGTCCGCCAAGGAGGCGGCCACGAGAATCCTGCGCAAGCTCTTTGGGCCTGAGGTGGAGTGCCCCCCGCCGAGCAACTCGAGATGCCAAGTGGATGGGTGGTCCTGCGGATTGTGGGTGACGAGGTGGTTCGAGCGCGCCCTGCGCGAGCTCCGCGGCGAGGGCCGCCAGCCGCCAAGCAGCATCAGCGACATCTGCGCCCGAGGTAACGAGTGGATCGAGAAGCTGAAGAACGCGAGCGACGCCAAGCCCATGGGCAAGGCCAAGGCCAAGGCCAAGGGCAAGGCCCCGGATCCGTTCGTGCCCGAGCCCAAGCACGCCAACCTCGAGGCAGCACTGCAAGCAGCCAAGGAGTGCAAGAAATGCCTGCAGCTCAAGGATGGCAGTAAAGGCTGCCGAGCCTGTATGGGCGAGCACTTCGAGCAAGTGCGCCACAAAGGCTTTTTGTCGAGGGCAGCCAAGGACTTCGAGCTCGCGTGCATGAAGCTTTAACCGCGAGAACCATCGAGCGAAAAGAACATATTTTCGAGGAGGTCTCAAGCGAAAAACACAATTAGTTCGAGGATGTCTCAAGCGAAATAAACAATAGTTTGAGGGTGTCTCAAGCGAAATAAGCCATAGTTTGAGGATGTCTCAAGCGAAATACGCAATAGTTTCAGGATGTCTCAAGCAACAGTTTGAGGATGTCTCACGCGAAACACCATTAGTTCGAGGGTGTCTCGAGCGAAATAAGCAAGTTAGTTTGAGAGTGTCTCAAGCGAAATATGCAATAGTTTGAGGGTGTCTCAAGCGAAATACGCAATATTTTGAAGATGTCTCAGCAATAGTTTGAGGATGTCTCAAGCGAAATAAGCAATAGTTCCAGGATGTCTCAAGCGAAATACGCAATAGTTTCAGGATGTTCCAGGCGAAAGCAGCAATAGTTTGAGGATGCTTCAAGCGAGAAACACAATTATTTCGAGGATGTCTCAAGCGAAATAAGCAATGGTTTGACGGTGTCCCAAGCGAAATAAGCAATAGTTTCAGGATGTCTCAAGCGAAATACGCAATAGTGTCAGGATGTTCAGGCGAAATCAGCAATCGTTTGATGATGTTTCAAGCGAAAAACACAATTATTTTGAGGATGTCTCAAGCGAGATAAGCACTAGTTTGACGGTGTCTCAAGCGAAATAAACAATAGTTTGTGGCTGTCTGAAGCGAAACAAGGGATTTGTCGAGGATGTCTCTAGCGAGATAAGCCATTGTTGATGATATTTTAATGAAGACTAAACGCCAAGGATGTCTCAAAACGTGCTCGGTTTGGTCTCCTCTTGATCATATCTTACTTCGAGATTATGCTGAGGTCTGGTGGGCTACTTTGATTATCTCGCCCTGAACCCCGGATTTTATTATCCCCTAGTGTTTATTATCGTGAGCGTGGGGTTATATACATATATATGTATATACATACATATGTGTGTGGTGTTCGTTCGTCATGAGACGGGGGGGTCAAGGCAAACGGGGATCAGCCAGAGCGCCTGATCTTGCAGGACCCTGCAGAGCCAGGGTTGCATAGACCCGGGCTATCACGCAGGACCCTGCAGGATCCTGCAGGATCCTGCGAGGCCTGAGTGACCCGGGTTTGCGTTGACCCTGGTCATTGCGTCCGCGACTCGCGGCGAGGCATTCCCAAACGGTCTGGGCCTCTTCCCGGGGACTGGCTTTCGTCCCGAGTCGTTTTGGACGGTCCCGTGGCTTGAGGGTTACTCCGAGGGCTTAGGCGACCCGTCTTCTTCCTCCTCGTAATTACTCCTCCTCCTTTTCCTCCTCCTCCTACTCCCTCCTTCCTCTCCTCCTCCATCTCCTCCTCTCCCTCCCCCTCCTCCTCCTCCTCCTCCTCCTCCTCCTCCTTCTCCTCCTCCTCCGCCTCCGCATCCTTCTCCTCCTCCTCCTCCTCCTCCTCGGGTCGCCTACGGCCCCAGGGGAAACCGTGCACCCCTGGCCCGTGTCATTCGCCGGAGGACTCGAGGCTCGAGGGCCTGGAGGGCCTGGAGGGCCTGGAGGGCCTGGAGGGCTCGAGGCTCGAGGCTCCAGGGTCGCGGATCGAGCCTTCCGAGGATCGAGGCTCGCGACCTGGGGGTCGAGGCTTCCGGCGAGCTGTCTGGGATTGGGACGCGCGCCCTCTGCTCGGTCGGCGAGGCAGCGGCGGGCCACGTTCGCGCGGGGCGGAGAGCTCAGGGGCAACGATAGGTAGGGGATAGGCCAAGGGGGACACGCATCGACCCCCATCGGCCACGCACAGAGGGGGGCAGGGGGAGGGGGGAAGGCTTCTTGGAAGCACCCCGTCCGGCGCGGCCCCTGTTTGTAAAGGTGAGGCCCGCGCCTTCCAAGGAGCAGTCTCCTTCGAAGAAGCCGTCCCCCCTCTCCCTACCCCCTCGTGCGCGCCGCCAACCCCAATCGACCATTCATCGCCGAAATGGGTCTGGCAGCCCACCCCGCCCAGGACCGTGCGGATTCGTTATCGGGGGCGTATCGCCGATGCACCGGCGATGCATCGCCGAATCCAGGGCGATGTCCCCCCCCCCTCTGCCAGCCCCCCCTATCGCTGCCCCTCACCGGGAAGAGCCCCTGGAGGCTGTGCATTGTCGAAAAGCCTCCAGTTCTGTTTGTTTGTTACCGCGCGACGATGTCAGGGAGTGCGCGCGCGCGGCAGCTTCTGCTCTCCGGGTCGCCCCCGCCGCGCGTGCGCTGGCCCAGCCGGCACCGAGAGAGGAGGGCCGGGCACAGCGAGAGCCCTGGGGGGCTGGGGGGGTGGGGCTGGCGAGCGTGCGGACAGAGATTGCCGCGGTTATGCGCAGCGGACAGGATGAGGATGATGATGAGGATGATGAGGATGACGATGATGCTGAGGATGATAATGAGGAGGATGATGACGATGACGATGACGATGATGATGATGATGATGATGATGATGATGATGATGATGATGATGATGATGATGATGATGCTGATGAGGACGATGATGATGATGATGATGATGATGACGATGACGATTACGATGATGATGATGACGATGCTAAGGATGACGATGATAGAGATGACCATGATGATGATGATGCTGATGATGATGATGATTATGATGATTATGATGATGATGATGATTATGATGCTGATGCTCATGATGATGATGATGATGATGATGCAGCTGCTGATGATGATGATGTCGATGATGATGATGATGACGATGATGATGATGATGATGATGATGCTGACGATGATGATGATGATGATGATGATGATGATGATGATGATGATGCTGACGATGATGATGGTGATGATGATTATGATGATGATGCTGACGGTGATGATGATGATGATGATGATGATGCTGATGATGATGATGATGCTGATGATGATGATGTTGATGATGACGTTGCTGGTGATGCTGATGATGATGATGCTGATGTTGATGATTATGTTGCTGCTGCTGCTGATGATGATGACGATGATGATGAT